ATCATTTCTCCCTTAACTAATAGCTTATAGATAGTATAATTCAAATTTCAGTATGCCCTATTTCTTTGAATGTAGAAGTAAAAAGTTATAATGATACAAAGTTCAAACAGTAGATTTATTTTGTTCCTGAATTTATCACAAATTTATTTGTAAAGATTAATGTGATTCAATCAGCAGAATGTTCCGTTTATTAAACTTGTTTCCTAAGAAAGATGGAATACCTGCGCCCTAAAATACAGACCTTCTTTCCAAAATCTTAGGAAGAAATAAAGCAGTAAAAGATAAATTTATAATTTCTCGTGTAACATTATTTTAAGTCTTTCTTTAAATTTTCCAAATTTTAGAGTTATCCAATAACTCTAAAAACAGATAAATGATCATTTGTTTTCACATTAAATATTGAAGACCTGATATATAATACTAAGGATTATGCTAGATACTGTAGCAGGGAGAGAAGCTACTGTCACGTGGGTAATTAAATCACTGTGTGCCCAGTGCAATAACAGGTACCTGGAGAGCACGGGGGGAACAGAGGCAGGCTGGGATGGGGCAGGGTGAATAAAGTATGCTTTAGAGCAGGATTGCTCAGCTTCGGCAGTGCTGACATACTGAGCTGGATAATCCAGTGTTGGGGAGAGGGGTTGTCGTATGTGCCATAAAATACGAAGCAACATATCTGGTCTCTACCGATTGGATTATAGTTATGGCACCCCAGCTGTGGTGATTAAAATCTCTTCAGACATTGTGAAATATATTCTGGGGGGCAAAATCACCCTGAATCAAGAATCACTGCTTTAAAGAAATATCTGTTCTGAGTTCTGAAAAATTGCCACTTAGTATAGAAGAAATAAAACAGTCTAGAAAAAGAGAACATCATGAACAAGACCCAAAATCAAGAAACCAAAAGTAAGCAAGGCATTTGTGCATAGGCAAGTATGTCACTAGGGCTACTTAAGTCCAATGTGTTGTATAGTAGTCTTAAGAAATTTGATTACAATGATCAGTAAATGGCTAAAACAGAAGATACCCTTTTATAAGATAATGAACAGCAAAGGTCTCCTTGTAGAAACACCAAAACATTCCAAACTGCTCAGGTTTAATCAAACTGCTTTCCCGAAACAAAGAGTTTTAATGGGATGTAGGGTAGGAAAGACAAATAATTTAGGAAAAAGGAGCGTTGCTGAGGTAAGGTGGGGAGCCACAGGTGATGTGCCACATTATGTGGGACAAAAAGTCTCACACCTCTGGGGCCTCAAAATTTGGGAAAAGAACAAAAAGGAGAGGTAAACAGTAAAAAATGATGATATGAAATGATGATATGCTGACTATTCTCTCCCTTTCTTTGAACTCAAATATAGTAGAACTTCGGTTCTCAACTTAATACTTTCAAGGCTGTTTGAGATATGACTTTTTCAAAAACCAAATTTGTTTTGCTTGTTGGCTGACACATGAGTGGTCATACGGGCACCAGCAATCCTGCTGGACAGCCCAGACATTTCTTCCCAGGACCAGCTTGGTGGAGAACTGAACTGTTCAAAATGGGAGACGTTCAAGAACCACAGTCTGACTGGAGATCAAGCACAAACAAGGCTACCTTTTCTCTTCCCACCTGCTCACAGAGCAAGCAGGCGTTATGGTACTGATCAAGCAAGCGTGAATGCTATACTAGCAATGAACCTGGAAATGTTTATGGCCTGCACACATTTATCTTATTTAGCAGGAACAGATGATAAGAAAAAAGTAAATGTGCCTCAAGTTTAAGAAAATATTAAGCTGATTCTTAAAACCTGAGACAAAGCCAAAATTAAACTTCTTTGTGTGTTATTTAAGAAAAAATGATCATTGATATCCATGTAAGGCAAAGACTACACATCTAACCCTACCTGGACAGCTCTCTAAAGGAGAAGTAAATGTGAGGCTTTCAAAGAAGAAAACTGTTATAAAATCTCAAAATCCTAGAAAGCAGCAATGACCTTGCCTTCCTGTATGAAAGCCATAGTATACTGTACCCCAGATGGTTCATTATCAAAATCAATTCTTCTAAAATATTTTATTTATTTATTTTTAGAGAGAGGGGAAGGAGGGGGGAAAAGAAGGACAGAAACATCGACTGGTTGCCTCTCATACACACTCCGACTGGGAGCTGACCCGGCAACCCTGGGGTGCGCTCTAACTGGAAGCACGCCTGACCAAATGAGCCACATTGGTCAGGGCATCAAAATCATTTTTAATAATACAATGACCTTTTCACATATGCTGTTTGTACAATCTTTGAGAAATTCTGTTTTCATAATGAATTTTATCACAACAGGACTGACAGAGTTCTGCAAAAATAAACTCTACAACTCCTCCAAGACTGAATACAAAGCTTCGGAATAAAGCATTATGCCACAGGTCATATGTGATCATTATTACTAAGGATGAGAGAAAGGTCTTTAGAAAAAACTTGTCAAGAAGGATGTTAAATTGCACCCAATTGCCTACACTAGATTAAATCTAACATTTGTAAATTTTAATAAAATTCTAGCTAATAATATAGAATAAACTTTTTCCATCCATCTAAATTTGAGTGGCATAAAGATAATTTTCCTCCACTTAAGTAGTTATGTACACCTATACATAATATTTAGATATGCCTTTACAAAATAATGCTGCCTTATACAGCAGAAAAGAGGTACAGTTGTGGGTTGCTCCTGCACATTTCTTCTGGTAGTTCTCAGTGGTGATACCAGTGAAGCTGATGCTCTCCTGAACACAAAAACCCATGCTATTTGTCTGACTTACTGGCAGCTTGTTGAAGGGTGGGTTGTATCAACAGAAATAAAAATGTAACTAAAGTTATAAGGTAGACAGTTTTAAAACTTTTACAATCTTGCTAGTAGTAAAGACATCTTACTGTACCTTAACATACATTTTAAGAGTTTCAATGAATATATTCAGATAAAAATGATGACATTTTAATTTAGTATTTCAGAAGAAACAGAGAGACATCTTTGTCATAACAGATAGCTTACTACTACTGTTCTTTTTTTTAATTAAGGGGCTGGATCCAACTAAACATATCTCACAGACATGTAAGATAATGATGACTATATAAAAATATTATAGTTCCCCAATTCTTTCAATATATATAAATAATTTAACATGTCAAAGGAAATTATTATGCTAGTAACTTAAAATGAGTATTGTTGTTAATGTTTTAAAAACAGCTATAATTTCATTTTATATTACTATCATTTTATTATTTTTAAAAATAATATATTTGCTGAAATTTACCAAGATGGAAATGAATATTATTACCAGCAATGAGGCTTATTCCTGAATTTGGTAGGCCAATTACAGCCAGCCAGGTAACACTTGCAAATGGAAGAGAATCACTGTGAGCACATCTTCATAGTGAATTCCCAGAATAGGCACAAGTAAGATTTAGGAGGGATAATTTCTGATACTGAAAAGAAAATACTAAAATGAAAATATGAAAAAATGTATGTTGAATGGTATGATGGGACTGCAGGGAATGTGGACTTGGGGAAAAAAGTCAAATGAAAGAATGTGAGAATTATATATTTAAACAAAAAATTATCTGCTTCAACCTGACACAGTCAAACCTGATACATGTTTAGTGTTTCTCTTTCTTCTAAAACAGAAATCATAAGGGTTTTCAATATGACATCCCTTTGTGGTCTTCAGACTCAGTTACCACCTACATCAAACTTCTCGTCTTGTATGAATAAGCTTCATAGGGCCATTTTCACAAGGACTAAACCTCCACATTGCACATTAACAAAACTGTCTGACCACATGAAAATAAAACCACCCCCAGCCACCCCACTAAAGAGTAGACTTAAAGTTCACTCTGCAATAAAATTTGCATATGTATAATTTAGTAAATAAAATATTTTCAAAATATGAATTGGATGAGGACACCTTAGCGTTCCCCACAGGAGCCACAGCTTTTGGCATGCAGTAGCTAAAGACGGTATTTCAGCAACACCACGGCTGCACATTTTTCACTTCACATCTCTAAACCACGCCTGCCGCTTACAACTGACAGCGAGGCACGGCTTCATTGGAAGTGCTCTTCTCTTCTGAATGGCACATAAAACAATGCATTTTATACATGATGTTAAGTATAGTAATGATACTAAATATAGCTGAACTGAATTAAACCAAGGTGAAAGTATAATGCCTATTAATTCTCAGAAAACTGAAATTCATGTTTTTTGAGTCATTCTTTTATGTTAGCCTGTTTAAAAGTTCACATACATATAAAATAGTATGTCTTTTGACAGGGTAGTTTATCCTTTTATATTCAAAGTAATTATTGATAGAGAAGGACTTACTATTGACGATGAAATTGTTTACTGTTTGTCTTGCAGTTCTTTTGTCCCTTGATTCCTCTGTTATAGCCTTTTCTTGTGTTTTGCCTGATTCCTTTATTTTCTTTTGTGTGCTCCCTACAGGTATTTTCTTTGTGGTTACCAGGGAGTTTACATAAAACCTCTCACAGCTATAACAATCTATCTTAAGCTGATAAAAAATAAACTTCTAGCACATACACTCTACACTTTTATTGTTCCACATATACACTTTACATTGATACCACAATTTATATATTTTTATATTGTGTATCCATTATGTTTACAGGTACTTTGTGTATTTTTGTCTTTTAAATTCCAGGCCAGAATTAACAGTGATTTACATATCACTGCTATGGTATAATAGTATTCTGTGTTTGTCTATATATTGATGTTTTCTAGACTTTTTTTATACTTTCATTGTTGTCATGTTGCTGTTTAGCATCCTTTTCTTCATTTATTTTTAGAATCCAAAGACCATACTTGCTTGATAAATAAAAATAACAAAAATATACGAATGAGTGTTTGTTGGCAACTGTAAATCAGAATTAAACTTCTAAAACAGGGCACTGAAGAACTGTGTTCCTGAAACCAATAAGGCAGCTGCAGTCCATTAAAATCCTGGACAACTTTAATACTCACCAGTCCCTTTGCTTAAATATGGAGGCTTAAAGAACTTCACGACACCGTAGACATTGACAACCATGCCGGCCTTGAGTTCACTCAGGGGAGTATACACGTAACGGGCTGATGGAACCTGAAGAAAGACAGTGACTATATCGATATCAAGTGTTTACATTTTAGAATTACGTTATGATCAAAGATGAGTCAGCTAACAGCATTTTTTTCCTTTTAAGTGCCTAAAAAGAGGCTGAAATCTTCAAAAAAGAAATACATGACTTAAAAGGTATATAAACCATTAGGATTAACTTTGCAAAAAATAGCTTTATACCATTTTTTGGTATAAAGCTATACTAAATGGTATTTGGTATAAATAGCTTTATACCAAATAATGGGATAATTTGTAGACAATTCTAAAAAAAAATGACATTTAAGAGATTTTGGTTCTGGGTTTAACCTTAAGTAATATTTCAGAACTTCAGAGATATTTTTTTTTCCAGTACTGCTATGAAGACTTTTTTTAGGCATAAATAAAACCAGGTTTTGATTACAAATAGTATAAAGACATTAAGAATGGTAATAAGAGAAAAAAACTTCTGAAATAACTGAATATGATTTTGGAAAAGAAAGTGATTCACAAGGATATATCTGCATATTAGTCAAATAATCCATAAAAAGGTTCAGACATCTGTTCCCATTGCCCTCCCAACATATTATCTTAACAAGTACCTCCCTGATGTAAAGACACATGAGGAAGGCCAGCACAGCTCAAGGTCCATCCATAACCATTACAGTCATTCAAGTAATGTACTTGTTAATTAGTGGCCAACAAACAGCTTTTTAACTATAATTTAGCTCTGCATGTAAATAAGCCAGTATGTGTGTGCACAGAAGCTAAGTTACACTCTAATAGTCCAGAATACCTGGACTTTTTAACCATTTTCATTAGGGCTAGAGGCTCCTTTGTTTACTTCTGCCTTATTTATGAGTTCATGGATGTATCAAATATTTGAAGCTGACTTATTTATAACAATTCTGAGAAATGTTAATATCTGGGGTTCGCTTTTTTTAAGTGCATTAAACTTTTAATTGGCTATACTTTCTTTAAATTATAAATTCAAATTATACCATTACAGAATTATTAAGAATTTAAAATTTATTATCAGTAGTTATTGGCAACTAGAAACATAATCTCTGGGCTCTCTTTGTCCATTAGAAACTAAAGGTTTAAGAACAGGGCAGGACATGAATTTTAAACTGTACCAATATATTAGCTTCTTTCTAGTTTCACTCAGCTACAAGAAGTGCATCTGTAAAAATGAGAATCCTCCTATTGCTATAACACAATTTTACAAAATGATAAAAAGCAAAATGTGTGACAAGGATAATAAATTACTTATAATCACATTATTCAACACATAATAACCTGTTTAAATACAAGCAGATAAAAACAAAAGAAATACATTTGCCTGAGGTTTAAAAGTAGTAGAAATCACAATGTCTTTACATAAGAAAACTTTTTAGTTTATGCCTTACACAAAATATCAGCAGATATTGCAGGCAACAGAATAGCCAGACATTAATTACTAGATAAATACATAACTTGAATGTAATATCAGTTATCAGGAAGTAGAGATTATGTTTTCCCATTGTACTGACACCATTTCGAAATCAGACTATAAAGTGGATTGAATGTACATATACTATATGTGTGTATCTACATGTGTGTATATGTGCAGGGGTATGTACATATTCTAAATTATACTATATGTAATCTTACCAAAGACATTGACTCTGTTGAAAAATACATTACAGATTTAATATAGACCTGGAAAAAAAAAAAGAAAGGGCTTATTTGTATACAAATGACTTCCAATGTGATTACAGACCTTTAATTGCAATGAACTACACATATTACTACATATAATATTCAGACTCATTAGAATTTATGGCTTACAATTAAGAATGACATGTTCAAAGTTATCTCAGCTAAGCTTCAGTCTAATTCATTAATTTCAATATCGTAGGATACCCCTAGCCCAATAAAGCCCTTGTGCATGCTGGGAAAAAACAGGCAGACGTTGGCATTAAGCGCAGGGCTTGACCCAAGTCTACCTGACAGCCTTCCTCCAATGGGTAGCCTCCAAATGTGTGTGTTGGGGATGCAGGCTTAGAATGGAGGAGGGAAAAGATAAAGAGAAAGAGGGTGAGCACCTTCAGAGCAAATAAAATAGGATATGAGTTTAACCTAAAAAAGGAATACCTGATCAATTTCAAGTGAAATCAGATCATCAAAAGAGGCTGGTGGTATAACTGGAAAGAGTAAGATTAGGTCTGGAGTGTCTGTGGAATTTTAAAATGTTCAGCAATAAATTTTTCTTTCTACCTGGAGTCAGACAAAATAGTTTGCTGCAGATTTACAGAAATACTACTTCTATTTCATCAACTTAGCTCATTAAAACCATAACATGAGTAGAGACTAAAAGTTATACACTTACATAAACGGTTGAGCCGCAGTCCTCAAATGCTTTCAAAACTAAGCAATGTTCACCATCTCTGCTTGTAGACGAAGACAAAACAATAAATCCAGCCACTGCAACGGTGTCCTGAATTTAAAAAAAAGTTTTCATTGCCAAAATATCTCTAATTGTGAAAAACATGCAAATCCTTATTTTTTATTATTTAAAAACAGAAATCATTCCTACTAAGTGAAAAACTGGTTAGCCTAAACTTGTTTAGTGCTTTCTGAATAAAAGGCTGAGCCTACCACCTCCTCCAAACTCACAGACAGGTATAATGTCCCACTTCAGGGATCAGGAAAACATTAACTAGATCACTTGAAAAAAAGTTTTTAATTTAGTAGAACTTCAAAAATCAATCTTTATCTCAATTTATGTCAATAAGGTTGCACAAATAAACACAATGAAGGGAAAACAGATGATTCAACAGTATTAAGAATGTAATTTAAATGAAACAATCTCAGAGTTGAGAGACTACATTGAGAAAGACATCAACTCCACATTATTACAGAGTTAATATATGTGGTCATAAATTCAGGGTATGAGATATAAATAAGAAATTTCCACTTACAAACTAATAAGAACAGAGATTTTCCCTCCTACATAGGCTTATAATAGTAGTAAGAAGCTATTCTCCAATTACTCCTATCTTGTTCTATTGTTAAATCTCCTTTCCAAATACCTACATACTCAATGAGTTCTGTCTTGCTAATATACATATATGAATTATATATATATATATATATATATATATATATATATATATATATATATATATTAGTTATCTTACTCTTCTAACATTACCACCCAAATCTTAAAATGCATAAAAATTCCTGGGCTTTAGGCAGCTTCTTTCAATAATCTTAACCTCTTCCAAGTAGAAGTCTTCTGCACAGAACACTTTAGTTTTGCACATATAAGGGCCTGGTGTCAATTCCCAGGATTCACTATTTAGATCCATCAACTAGGCTGTGAGCACCTTGAAGACAGGGGTCTGCTTTGTATTTACAGCGTTGGCACACAGCAGGCCTTCCATAAACAGGCTGTGAGTCAACGGAAGGATTGTACGTTGCCTTTCCAAAATCCCTGGCCCTAACCAGGTATTTTAGCTCTGACAATTTCTGCATTTTCTTCTTCAGGCGAGACTGCCCACACAATTGTGTCTGTGCTGATAACAGTTAATAACCACAACTCTTTACAATCAGATGGGAGAAAATGTTACTTCTCTATGTTTCTACCATGTTTTAGACAATTTTAATGCAATCTTACTTGTAAACAGTAAGACTGCTTCTGGAATTACTTTTACAAACTGAAAAATAGGTAATGCTTTCAATTTATGTAGACTAGTATGCTCTGATTTAAATGAAAACTTAGGATTTTAGTCAAAAATTAAAACTTGTTTAATCAGAGTAACACAAGAAGATAAATAGAAGTAGGTGAGTCACTGGCTTATTAGTCTTAAATTCTCTTAAAAGCACACAAAAGATTAACTTACCTCATGTTATTGCCTATTTTACTTAAAAATATCTTAAACATAAATATTACATAGAAATACACCATATGCAAATGTTAGGACTACACATGCACAGTTTTCTGTTTTTTTTCTATAATCTAAACCTTTTCGGAGTAAATATTTCTTTTATGATGGGGAAAACATTTTAAGTAAAGGGAATAAATCACGAAAAGCCAAGCATCAGCATTCGTAAGAAAAATGCTGTACTTATAAAAATGAACTTAATTTGACCACACATAAACACACTGCAGTGAAGTCCCTCAGTGGTCTCCCCAACCAAGTGTACCTGTTCCAGCTCCACATACTTCCATTCCACACTATACACATCAGATTCTCTTACGTGCCTGCTGCTTTTCCACATAGATGCTTTGCTTATTCTGAGGCCGCACTAATAATAAATAGTATTCTGTTCTTTTGCACATATCTGACCCTATCTATCTGTTTAAAGACTGGACTATAACTGCTTCTTCCTTGTGAAGTCTAGATTTTTGTCCCTTTCCCCCCAAAATATTTTTTTTCCTGTGAAATCTCCTATGTAGCATTTTGATATTTTTTGCTTTGTGTTATTTAAAAACTTTTCTTGATGTTTTTAATGCCCTTAATCTCTAAGATCCTTGTGACTAAGAATAATGTCTATCTGTATATCCCATTTAAGGGACTGGCAGAGGCTTCTTCTGTTCTGTTCATAGTCCATGCTCAACAGATATCTTGTTGAATAAAGAACTTAACACTGGTAACAGTGACGTACAGATCTAAACAAGAGAGAGGAAAAATGGCTCTGTATTCAGTTCCCATGAATTTACAAATCATAAAGGCTTTTCAATTAATTCACAGAGGATAAGAAAGATAAATATATGAGGGGGACCCCCCAAAAGAACTTATTTATAAAAATTGTGTATTTATTCCCACATGTTTGAACTTCAGTCACCTTTACAGCACACTCCATTTGATGCAATACACCTATCGAGATGTTTTTCCACTACTCGAAAGAGTTTTTGAACTCATCTATTTTTATGCCTTTTAGTGTTTCTGCCATTTTTGTTTGTTTCACCTTTTTCACATTGGCCAAACATTTCCCTTTGAGAACATTTTTCACCCAAGAAAACAAAAAAACACTGTTTGGGGCAAAACTGGGTAAATAGGGAAGATGGGGCATTGGGGTCATGCCATTTTGGGTCACAAACTGCTGAAAACTCAGTGTGGGTATGGGCAGGTGCCCTCACAAACCACCCATCATGAAATAGGCAAACATGTTGAAAGAGTCTTCAAAAAAGATTCACTGAAGCCAAACGCAGCTTCTCACAACAACGCCAGCTGATGCACTAATACAGATGGGTTCCTAGAACACTCATCTAGCGGGAGAAGCCTGTAGTACAAAGGACCCAACTTCCTGAGATAACTGAGGCTTTGGGGGTCCCCCTCACACAATAGGCAGTATTAGTTTCATAAACACTCACTGGAGTTAATTAAAAGTTAGATTTAATATGTATTATTCTAAATTCTAAACTTCTGAGGAAGCACACTCAAGCAATTAAAACAAGAATATGAATTACATAATTCAATGCTAAAAGTATATTCTGCTATAACAGATGTTTTCTCAATCTGCCAAAAAAAGAAAATTAGGAAACAAGCCTGAGAAGAATATTGTGCTACAAGAAAGTACTGAATTGGCCAAAAAGTCCATTATGAACAACCACAAGCAGGACAACAACTTAAAAACAAAAAACAACCAGAACGGATGGAAAATTGAATGGTATGGAAGTCTGACAACCAAGTAGTTAAAGAAGAAACATTCATCCAGACTGGAGGAGGAGTGGAGACAAGCAGCTGGGCAGAGAGGACTCGTGGCAAGGGCAAAGTAGCAGAGGCGGCTGGTGGAGGGGGCGGTCCCACATTCCCATGCAGATAAACTGGGAGGAACAACTGCGGACCAGGATGGACTACGCAACCCAGGTTCTCTGATTGAAAACATCTGTGGGGGTTGAGGCGCCAGCAGAAGAAACTCCCAGCCTCCCAGGAGAATTCCTTGGAGAGGCCCACAGGGTCCTAGAACGTACACAAACCCATCCACACTGGAATCAGCACCAGAAGGACCCAATTTGCTTGTGGGTAGTGGCAGGGGGGTAGAGGAAATGACTGAAATCGAGCAGAGAACACTGGTGAACACCTAAGGCTCTGCCCCTTACTATGTGTTACTATGTAACAGGAGCAGTAAGACCAAAAAAAAAAAAAAAAGCCCAAACAAAAGACCATATCAAAGCTCCACAGCAAAGACAACTAAGTGACAAATAGATAACCAACCTATCAGATGCACAGTTCAAAACACTGGTAATCAGGATGCCTACAGAAATGGCTGAGTATGGGTGCAAAATACAAGAAAAAATGAAGGCTATACTAAGTGAAATAAAGGATAATGTACAGGGAACCAAAATTGAAAGGAAGGAAACTCGGACTCAAATCAATGGTATGAATCAGAAAGAAGAAACATTCAACCAGAAAAGAATGAAGAAACAAGAATTCAAAAAAATGAGGAGAGGCTTAGGAACCTCCAGGACATCTCTAAATATTCCAACAACCAAATCATAGGGATAGCAGAAGGAGAAGAGGAATAGTAACAAACTGAAAACTTATTTGAACAAATAATGGAGAACTTCCACAATTTGGCAAAGGAAATAGATTTCCAGGAAGTCCAGGAAGTTCAGAGAGTCTCCAGTTGGACCCAAGGAGGAACACACCATGGCACATCATAATTACATTTGCCAAGATTAAATATAAGGAGAGAATCTTAGAAGCAGCAAGAGAAAAGACAGTTACCTACAAAGGAGTTCCCACAGGACTATCAGATGATTTCTCAAAAGAGACCTTGCAGGCAAGAAGGGGCTGGAAAGAAGTATTCCAAGTCATGAAAGGCAAGGACCTACATCCAAGATTACTCTATCCAGTGAAGCTATCATTTAGAATGGAAGGGCAGATAAACTGCTTCTAAGATAAGATCAAGTTAAAGGAGTTCATCATCACTAAGCCCTTATATGAAATGTTAAAGGGATTCACCTATGAAAAAGAAGATAAAAAATATGAACAGTAAAATGACAGCAAACTCACAGTTATTAACAACCACACCTAAAACAAAAGCAAACTAAGAGGACAGCTAGATCAGGAGTGGAACCATAGAAAAGATCACATGGAGGGTTATCAAGAGGGGAGTGGGAAGCAAAGAGAGGGGGAAAAGGTACAGAGAATAAGTAGCATAAATGGTAGGTAGAAAATAGACAGGGGGAGGTTAAGAATACTATAGGAAATGTAGAAGCCAAAGAACTTGTATGTATGGCCCATGGACATGAACTAAAGCAGGGGAATGTTGGGTGGGCAGGGATATGTGGGTGGGCGGGGATTTGCAGGGCGGAGTGGAATAAAGGGGGGAAAATGGGACAACTGTAACAGCATAATCAATAAAATATATTTAAAACATTTAAAAAATTTTTCCGTTTAGTTTAGTCAACAGGAGTATTTCTACAGCAAACCAATCTCAGAGAAAATGAATAAAAGCAGTGTAAGTCTTTTTAACATAAATGAG